CCAGACACGAAAAAGCAAGCAATCCTGGCTGAGCCTCTAAACTTCATCCCCCCTCGATGCGGAGAAAAAGAAGAGTGGATATCCAACCGTAATGGCGCCGCCATATGGACTTGGTCACCTGGTTTGTGACGTAAGGGAAAAGAATCTTGGGGTCTTCCCCTGACCTAGATTCTGTCTCTCAGTCATTGGCAGAATTGCTGATTAATGCCTACAGTTGAAAATTTTGACTGACCGGAGTCTATGGTGGGTAATTGAACGTAGTGAAATGGTCGCCAGCCATTTTGAATCTTATCTGAAAAACAAAATGTGCATCAAGGTCTGAAGATAAGGTCCTATAATGTCCAATGAATATACCAAGTTTGAACAAAATCCATCTGTAAACGGCCAATAAATTGTTCAGTATAAACATGGCTGCCATCTTGAATCATCTTGATGTGCATATGTATTATGTCATGTATGATGTGTGACGTTTGATTATGATTGGTGCAGGCATTTCTAAGATACAGGTCCAGACGGACGAAGGTAAAAACATAAGTCCCCGTTTGAATGCAGTTTACCACCTCTTCAAATCAACCTCATTTACATATTCACTCTTTTCATATATAGAAAATAGTAATCATGATTTTTGGTAGTTATTCAATATAACAAAGTTTCTAGAAATAGAAAGTGAACACATTCAATGACTAGAACAATTGAAATTTACACATGTATTAATTACATAGTTAACACATGGGATGACAAGAACTGTTCCACTCCATTAGGTTTTATTGTTCCAAGAATACAACTATGCACCTAATAAAGTTCATAGTGTTAGCCTTGTAATATATTAATGCACCTGTAATATACTATTCAGATGAACTGATGAAGAGCCAGAACCAAAACGTCTAGTTACATCAAATAATTTTTAAGGATTCCTACTACCACTTTCTATATATTATTTATAATATAAAACTACTCACATAGATATTTATTAATTTTTTTATTGCTGCATAACATGCACAACAGGTTACCTTCACACCATTATTTTCTAACTCAAACACGTGAAAACAAAAGAAATACAACTCGCATGATATATATATACTGTGCAATTTGGAGCAAGTAATTTGCATACTACAAACATGTTATGAACTAAAATTCCATATTTGGTTATAGTATGAAAATTGCTATTTATAGTATGCAAATTGCTATTTATAGTATGCAAATTGCTATTTATAGTATGCAAATTGCTATTTATAGTATGCAAATTGCTATTTATAGTATGCAGATCTCAAATTAGGTCAATAAATCGCAAAGCGTACACAGTAAAAAAAACACACATGTGTAATCTAGTCATGGAACCTTTGACCTGTCTTTGAATCAAACTACAGATTAAAATCAAAAACGAAAGATAAAGTGCATAGAAGATCATTGGTTAAAAGTGACAGACAGACAGCATTTGCATTTGAGGACAAGGAGGACATTTGAAATATATAGACCCAGACCAAATGCCTTTGTTAGGCGCTTTGTGATTGGTTAATTGGGTATAAATTTGATAAAGGCCTACATAAACAACAAATCAGATGTTACTCATAGAACTCATTCCATGCTCCTTGAGAATACTTGTATCAATTATTGAAATCACATGAAAAATGTTGAGAATAGAAAATTAAAAAAAAAAGTGAATAAATCTGTTACTTTTAATTAAATGATGAGGCAACAGCGATTTACAATACTGCTTTAAAAAAATAACATTTTACAAGTACATGATACAAACAAATTAATAAGCCAACAATATGTGAAAAAAATCCCACCACATGAATGACTATACAAAATTAAGATCAAAAAAGGTACAAGGGCTATCTATCTATTGAATTATCAACTGCTAAGCATTCATTTCTATATCACTAAAATCCCGAAATTTACTATCTTCTCCAAGACTACTACCAATCATTGCCCGAATATCAAAAACAATATACATTTCTCCCGGTTGGTCAGCAGGTGCAAACACACACCCGCCTTAAAAACAGAAATGTACAAAAAACAACTTTATCAAGTATTGGTATAACTCAGTACACACAACTTGAGTACTCGGTTAGACCATACATTACATTTAAACTATATTTAAATTAAACATTAGAATTGCACACATGCACACTCAAGAAAATCTTTAAACATTGACAAATGACAGTGCCGTTTCTGTTCAGATCTACATCAGCAAAAACGGTGGAGACATAGACACTTAGAGGCACACACACTGCAACAAACAGTGAGCCGAGACATGGACAGTGCCCTCAAACATGATAGCAGGGAATAAATATACTAGCAGAGCAATGCTGGAAGAACATATGAAGTGGGCAGGGAAGCAGGGGTTAGGTACGAGATATTTCAATTTCAATAAGAAATTTTTTACTAACAGGAAATTATTTACCAGATTGAACAGAAAAGAACCAATAAAACACATCGGAATTCAAAACAGCCAATCGCTAATCAGATTGAATTCATAACAACCAATCAGAATACCTGCTTAACATGCATTAACTTTTAGCAGTTATTATACGTATACCTTCACCAAACAAACAAGTGATAATTAAGAGAAATAGCAAATGTTCACAATAAGTCTTATTAAATCAAAAATTAAAGAAAGCTCATTACAGAACTCCTGTGTATCGAAAGTATTAGAAAGATGAAATATTTCAAATTAATCAAAAATTTAAGACTAGCCTAACTGATAACTAGTCTGTCTGATAAGTTTGATTGAAATCATAATAACTGGTTGAGAAATGTGTAGGGCAGCAGAAAATTTATTGAAATTGGACAATTATGATGCATGTGGATTTGGATCCTTAACCAATTTATTAATCACATCATCCCAGAGCATCTCAGTATTAAGTTTAATCAAAATTTGTTAAGTGTACTGGCTAATTTATGTAAATAATATGCATGGTTTCAACCATAAACCACCACAGATACGACTTGCACCTTTAAGCAACTACGTCATATAATCTGTGAAGTGGTTCTTGAGATATCAGTGGATAAGCTTAAATTTGGCTAATTATTTAATATTCATAGATTTCATCCAAAACCTCAGAGAATCTATGTACAAAGTTTCATTGAAATTCAACAAGTGGTTTTTGTGATA